GGGTGACACACGGGGGTCCCACACATCATGGAGGGGGCAATTTGGGGCTGGGGGAGGGGGCTCAGTGCCCTCAGGGGAAACCCCGGGGCTGTGGCATCAGCACCCGCTCAATATAGTTCTCCAGCTCCTCGTCCTCCTGGCGCCCCTGGGCTGCAGTGGGGGGGCCATGGCCGCGACCTTGGCCGCGGTGGGCACCAGTGCCCTCAGTCCGGGCCTGGAGGTGGTTGGAGACGGGGCGGCGTGGCGGCGGGGGGGGCAGCAACTCGTTCCAAGCCTCGTCGGCATCATCAGTCTCAGGCTCCGTGACCTTGACCTTTGCCAGGGGTGGGGTCAGGGGCTCCTGCTTCCTCTTCCTTTTGCTCTCCTCCACCTCATTGAGCAGGTCCACGACGTCCTGTGCAGGCAGGTGCAGCTGGCTCGACACCTCGATGAGCTGGTCAATGGTGCTGGGGTCGATCTCATCCTCGTCAGCACCGGCAGCGCCGTCATCTTCCTGTGACCGCTTGTCCTCGGCCACCTCGTCCTCGAAGAGCAGAGCCCCGGCACGCCCAGTGTCTGCATCCTCCTCCTGCTCCTCATCAGTGCCAGCGGCACTGTCGTCGTCGCCGTCGTGGCCCCGCAGCAGGTAGCGCAGCAGCAGGTCGGAGGCCAGGTCAGCCAGGCGCTCCTCACGTGCCGCCAGCTGCCGTGCCTCCTGCGCCTGGCGCCGGCTCTCAGCCAGCTCTTGGTAGCGCCGCTCCAGCAGCTGGTGCTCCAGGGTCTGGCGCTGCTGCAGCTTGCGGGCGCCCGCCCAGCTGGGCTCCGGGGTCTCGTCCCGCGCTCGCCGTCGCCCCAACACCTCCTGTGGGGGCTTGGCTGCTCGCTGCCCCCAGCCCAGGGCTCGGGGGCTGCCCGGCTCCATGGCCCAGGCATTGTTCGCGTCTCTCGGGCCCTCGGCCGGTTCTGGGGCCCAGAAACTCTTGGCATCTCTCTGCCCTTTGCCCAACTCAGGGACCCAAAAGCTCTTGGCATCTGTTTGCCCCCAACCCAGGTCTTGAGGGCTACTGGGCTCTGAGTCCCAAAGGCTATTGGTGTCTCTCTGCCCCCAACCCAGGTCTCGAGGGTTGCCTGGCTCTGGGTCCCAGACATTATTGGTGTCTCTCTGTCCCTTGCCCATCTTGGGGACCCAAGAGCTCTTGGCATCTCTTTGCCCCCAACCCGGGTATCGGGGGCTCCCTGGCTCTGGGTCCCAGACACTGTTGGCATCTCTCTGCCCCTTGCTTGACTTGGGGACCTTGAAACTCGTGGTATCTCTTGGCCCCTTGGCCGGCTCCAGGTCCCAGAAACTCTTGGCATCTCTTGGCCCCTTGCCTGGCTCAGGGACCCACAAGTTCTTGGCATTTCTGGGCCCCCAGGCCAGGTCTCGGGGGCTGCTGGGCTCTGGGTCCCAGAGGCTGTTGGTGTCTCTTGGTCCCTTGCCTGGCATGGGCCCCCGGAGGCTGTTGGTGTCTTGCGGCTCCTGGGGGCTCCTGAGCTCTAGGCCCCAGAAGCTCCTGGCATCTCCCGGCCCCCGGCCCGGGTCTCGGGGGCTACTGGGCTCCAGCATTGGGCCCCAGTGGCTCCTCTTCTCTGGGCCCAGGTCCCGGGGGCTCTCGGGCTCCAGGTCTTGGGGGCCGTCGGTGTCTCTCGGCTCTGAGTTGTGGGGTTGCAGGGCATCTGAGGCGTACGGCCCGGAGGGGGTCGGTGCATCCTGGCCCAGTGCCTGTAGCAGGGCTGCGGCCAGGACCCGGGGATCGAGGTCGGGGAAGAGGTCGTGGTCAGGGGCGGGGGCAGGCGGGGGGGCAGGGACGGCGGGGAGGGGGGG